ACTCAAATACTCATAAAGAAGACAGGCTATTTTGTAGAGAAGGCCTCCCTTTAGTTGCCGTATAAGCTGACTTCAGCAGCATGAGCTTGGTCGCAATTGTTTAAAGTGTCGCTTTGTAGCCAGCCAATTCTGACAGCTGTAGTTCACAAGCGAGACTCACACATGCACACACATTGATAAGCAAGCGCAAGCATGCCAACGCAGTTTTCGTCTGCGTCAAGCAAATACACTCAAGAAAGTAAATAAACATTGCATATGGCTGAAGTGCACTAAAAGCGGAAAGCAAGCAAGCACACATACACACACTCGCACATGCCTATACCCACATGTATGCCTAAACAAACATGACAGACAGAGAGCGATGTGAGTGTAAACAAACAGAGTGCACCACTTGCACCAGGCACATGTATGCATGTGTAAGTGAATAACAGTTAGCCAACGTAGCAGACAGTAGACGCACGGCAGACAGAACGCTGACAAAGGTGCGAGGATGGCAGCGGGGCAGTGCGAGATCGCAAGGCAGTTAAACGAGCCACAACTGCCGAGCTCTAAAACCGGGGTGAATGCCAGGTAGATTGCAGTAGCTTTGGTGGCAGCTGACGTTCAATTAATTTTTTTTTTTTGTTTCTGAGAATTTAAGCGACTGCAACGCATTTCAAACGTGCAACACAAGCGCAAGAGTTGTGCGCCAACTCATCAAACGCAGTAAAAATGAATAAACGCATAGTTGGGAAAAGACAGCTGAGCGCTGATGATGCGCTGCGGAATATGCCAAGGTGTACGCTGAGTGCGCCTGAGTGTAGGCAACAGCAGTAGCTTAGAGCCACGCAGTCGAATGGAAAGTGGATGAAGTAAGGTCGCTAAATGCTCGTAAAGTTGAATTAAATATAGCCTCTGGATTTGCCAACGCTATTTACCTAACGTTAATGAAGTTGAGCATTTTTGCTTTTAGTCGTTTTTCTTGCACACTCTCGGCATTCTTTACAATTTAAAGTCAAATTCCGGCGTCTGCTAACGGCTGTCAGGACAGGCAAATATGAAATAAAACACAAAAAAGCAACAGCGCCATGGAGAATTTGCGCGTGTACAAAAATAAATCCAACAAAAAACAAAAAAAAAAACAAGATATGCAAAAAGTAATTAGTGCGCTCAAACGCTCAACAGTTGAGAAATGAGAATTTAAATGGAAATAAAACATGGCGAAAGGCAAAAAAGCACTAAAAGAAATTACAAAAACACTGAACACTGCAAATTAAAAGAGAAAGCAATGGTGTGAAACTTGGCAGAATGGGTATTTAAATACGAATAAAAATTATATGAATGGACAAAGAATTAAAATAAATAAAATGAAAAATAGAAGCACGCACACAAAGCAAGTGTAAAGCAACTGTTTGAGCCACAAAGAAATCGGGGTAAAAAATTGCAAATCAAAAACGCGAGTCAGGAAGTAATTATCAACGCAGAAATGGAAACGAGCGCTTGAGGCTTAAATTAAAAAGTAAATAACATTAAGACTTGAAAGATAATTATCTAGCAAACAGAAGACCGTGAAGGATAAAAATGGCGATGGCGATGGCATAAGGCGGCCGCATGAAATATGCTAGGTCAGCAAAATGCCTTAAGGAAATTTACAAAAAAAAAAAAATTATATTATTTTGGCAATGCTTGTTGGGTAAGAAAAAATATTTTCGGAGCGCAAACAAAAAATTGATTAGTTCTCGGCATTATTTTAGTCTTAATTATAATTTCTTTGAATTTAAGTATTTTGTAAACACAGGCTCATTAGAGTGGCTGTTTTACTGAAGTTTCGTAAATAAAATAAGAAAGGGTAAAAAATAAGGTAAGTTCTCAAATAAAAAACTAGACTGTAACTTTATTTGGTTCGGTCCGTTTGTATGGCAACTATATGCTATGGTCTTCCGATCTATAAAAATCTAATCAGTTATTGTAGCATAGATTTATGTTACAGTCCATACCAAGTTTTGCAAATATTTCTCGTCAAATGAAAAGTTTTCCTTACAAGCGCTTAATTCCGGCCGTTCAGTTTATATGACAGCTATAAGTTATATTCGCTCATTCCGAACATTTTCTCCGGGGATTACTCCGTTGTCTTGGACAAATACCCATGCCAAACTGCGTGAAGATATCTTATCAAATGCAAAAGTTTTTCACTCAAGGGTTTGATTTTGATCGCTTAGTTTGTATCTAAGTTACAGGCAAAATTAGTCCGATCTGAACGATTCCTTCTAAGGTTATACCAGTGCTTTGGGCAATAAGCCGTACAAAATTTCAATAAAGGTATCTTGTCAAACAAAAAGTTTTACATACAAGAACTTATTGGGGATCGCCTTACTTTGTATGGCAATTATACAATTACCATTATAGCTTCGAAAATAGACCAGCCTTTTGAGGAGAAAAGAACGTTATGAAAGTATCAGACCGATGTTTCACAAACTGAAGGCCTAGTTCGCATATATATTATATAATTTGCATGTTTATATACATTTTAAATGGTCTCGGACGCTTTCTCGTGGATTTTACAAACTTCGTGGCAAACTTCATGTACCTGATTAGCGTATAAAGATATATAGTATTATACTTATACGATTCATTGTTCGAATTGCCATAGAGTTGAAATTGTCGTTGAAAATTCTCTCTAAAAATTGCAATGACCAATCGGAATCAAAGAAAAAGCTCGGTTAATTATGCAATGCATGAGTCTCCGCATGACACTGACCACCTCTTTGCATGCCCAACCAACCCCACCCATCTAACACCCCTTTCCCTTTGGTCCGACCCCGTCGAAACAGCACGTTTCCTGGGCCTCCCGTTAGATGACACCGACGACAACACTGATAACCCTCACCATCCCAACGGGGACTGATAATCGTTACAACAACAACAACAAAAAGCTCGGTCTATAGTATTACACAAAGGTACAGATATTGCTAAATTCAAATATTGTTACGATTCGCGATTAATTTCGCTAAAAAATATACTTTATGAGAGCCGAGGAATGTATATTTTCCTAAATTTCATCAATCATTTTCTGATGCTATAATAGTAATAGACAGATAATCACAAAATCATCATTAAAGCGAATTCCGAAAAATATATTTTGCTTTTTCTTTGCATAATTATTAGGTTATTATTCTTCTCTGCAGCTAATAAATGGTAAGTGTCTTCGCTATGCAAGGTAATTGCGGTGTGTAACATAGTTAAAATTAATTCGAATCTGTTTGCGTTGCTGAGTAAGAAAGATGAGACTAAAGTTTAAAATGTGTACCAAAGTGCGTTCGATTGCGCAGTATTTCTTCGTCTTACGTTTAATGCAGGACCGTTATGCGAATTATTTCATAATATATAATATTCCAGCTATGAAAGACAAAAACATTTTAGTGCTGGCTGTGTTTGAATTCAATTTCAGAACACAGCTGAGATAAGAATAAATCAAACCTCAACATGAAATTCTAACATATGTGAGGAAAAATTTTAGCATCTTTACTTTTCAGGGATAAATTTAATTTGTGGATTGAGAAACCATTCAAACGATTGAACTGACTTCACAACACTTCATTAAAAGGATAGGAGAATTTGTATGATAAAACTTTAGATATTTCGAGATAAATACCGATGGTTGCCTCAATCTTCGGATATGTATGGCGATCTTGCATCGGTAGTTTCCGGTACAATAATTGATTTTGGACGACTTTTACGAAATTTGTTTTGGAGTGATCGATGAACTCGATTGAATGCACCATGCCCTCGACAACATTAGTGCAATTCCACAATGCGTCAACTCGTATACAAAATTGTACAAAGTAGTCGTGCGAAAATGTTTGGGATTTGATTTAATTCTTGGCCGGGACGAGTATTTTAAGTGACTGTAAACTAAGCAAATAGCGCTCGTATGTTAAAAAATTTCAAGCTTTACCACAAAGTTGTGAATTGCCAGGTTATATCCGTAACATTAGGGTTATCAAATATCCCTTACATATAAGCAGAATATGAAGAAATTTAACGGAGGATCATTTGTCTCCGAGTAAACACTCAAGTAAATTTGAAAAATGTAGTTTTGATAAAAATGCGTTCAAAGATTAATTTAATTGAGCGACTATAATTTGGAAGGCTTAACTCAAAAACTTTTTAAAAATTTGAAGTGGTTAAATATACTATGCACTCGAAAATAAGGACATTAATTAAATTTGCATAAAAAAATTATAAAGTAATATATTTAAAATGGATAGTAATTACTAAAAAGTCCAACTATGATCAAGAATTTTAAATGTTTGCTTAGAAGCTTGGAATACCCAGCATCTTGATAATTTAAGAATACTGTAAAACAAATTAATTCTGCAAACACAGCCAAGCTTCGTTTATTTCAATTAAAGTACATTACGAAGAGTGTGCATAGAAATTAAAAAATAATAGAAATTTTAAAAGAATAAACAGAAGAAATGCAAATAAAGCAACGCAACTCCGGAAGGACAAAGAAAAAAATTCAGGTAAATAAGCTGCCATCTTTATTGTCAACGCCAGTACACTTGCTAAGCTTACACAATATCAGAGGAGGAAATATTAAAAAATAGGTAACGGTATGCAGGCGCAAGGTTTGTGGGGCCTTCGTATAATTGCAACGCCACAGGCTCATTTACAAAGCGCAGTGCACGAGCCATTGCCATTATCATAGCAGCGACCCATAAATCCGGCTCAGCGGGCAAATGGCAGAAAAGAAGTAAATAACAAATGAGAAAATAAACTAAGAAAATATCAAACAGCGCACAAGAAAAAAACATAAACTAAAAGGAATGCAAAGGACAAATGTGTGCCAAGATGATGGCACAAAAAAAAAAAAAAAACAATGAGAAAGGAAAAAAGAACAAACAGAAAAAAAATAAAGGAAATAAATAAAACAAAGCGCGCAAATAGCTGCAAGCGGTACTATTTTAAATTTTAGTTTTTGCTGTTGTTATTGTCATTGCTGGCTATTTGCCGCTTACCTTCAGAAAAAATAAGCCACCTGCCGGCAGCGTAATCCTGTGGGATCCGGGCAGTATTTTCAGCGGCACACCATCCTTAAACCACTGTATTGTGGGCGTTGGTGAGCCCTCTGCTTTGCAATTAAGTGTCGCCGGTTCGTGGCGCGGCACCGTCGTATCTATCGGATGCTCGACTATCCGTGGCGGATGTGAACCTGCGAACGAAACGAAAAGAAATGAAAAAAATATTTTAATGCAAGCGGCGGCATTCTTATGTGCAAATGTTAATATAAAAGAAGGGAAGTAACGGTAAAACGCAGTGATGCACCTATGAAAGTATATACATATGCGTGTATGTGTGGAGTAAAGATGGCGCAAAGCGCAGCACTTTGAGAGAGAAAGCAGTAGATGAGGCTTAAAGCAGTGCGAGTCTGCTGCTTTACCCTAACGGTTGCCAGAGCATACTATTTTTATGCACTTTTTTCTTGTTTTCTTCAGATGGCTTCGCAGGAATTATAAACTTAATGCGAATTGCAAATGATCGCAATGCAAATTGCCAACTGCATTTCAGCACTTCCTTTGCCGCGCTAAGCTGCTGGTGGCATCAGCGAACTGATAGCTTGCCATCTCTACCCCCACATCATCTCAGCGCCCGTATATGTGGCAGGCCACATGCGGCACTGAATGCCACCACAGCGCTGACTTTCTCTTTAAGGACGCACATGCTTAAGCAAATGAGCACTCACATGCGTTTGTTTATTTATTTTACTTTTTTTTCCTTTTCGCCCACTTATTGTTTTCATCATCCTTATCCCCTTTTTATATATTTCCAGCATTGTAGTCTTTCACTCGGTTACGAATTCCTTTGCTGGCAACATTCTACGCGTTGCTCGTCGCACATTTGAGTGTCTCATTCAAGTGCTTTGCAACATGCCACATGCTGCATGCTTTGTATGTGTTGCTCGCGTATTTTTAAGGTGCATTTTCAACGTTTCCGCTTAAGTTTGCATTTGAATGAAGAATATCTTCACACATATGCGTTTCCAATTAATCCAACCAAATGCCCACAGACGCCCCTGCAGCGCTTCTACTAGCGGCATGTGTTATGCTGAAGTACACTTGAGACTTAAGTGTGTATATTTTGTATTTTGCGCTTTAGTGCTTTCCAATTAAAAATAAATTTATATCCGGCTTGTAGTTAAAAAAAAAAAAATATATATCTTGATACTGTAAAAGCTTTAGAAGCTCATGCTGTATATTAGTATCACAGAAATGATGTTATTTGTGAAATATTTGCAGACGTTCAAATCCCAATAATAATACAAATGTTCCTAATAGTTTCAATGACATTCATAATAACAGCAATAATGTCAATGCCAATATCAATACCAATACCAATAACAATACCAATAACAATACCAATAAAAATACCAATACCAATAACAATACCAATACCAATACCAATACCAATACCAATACCAATAGAAATACCAATCAGTATCGTCATTAACAGAGCCCATTATCCATACAAAATTTAAAGAAATATTATAACAAGTATTGATACAATATTGACCAATACCAACACCCAGCATTACCAATACTTATGTCAGTATCATTACTAATTTCAATACGAATATAAATCTCCATTATTTTTCCCAATATGATGGCATTACCAATACCAATTTATATTATATTAAATATAAGAGAAGATCATACAACAACCTTCAACTTCACTGAGGAGATTGTACTAAATTGGCTCGCTTTGGACTTAATATCGACTCAACCAATACAGAAAGTCCCGTGATCACTTCTAGTAAGTAAGAGTGAAAGAAAGAAAAGTTTTGATAGTCTATAGGATAGAGAGGTGAAAAAGCAGAGCCCGGAGTGAAAGAGAGTATCGAATGGTTTGAGAGTCATTAGAGAGCTTGAGATGAAGAGCTAAAAAAACGTTTTCCGTAAATTAAAAGCTAAGCATGAAATAAAGGAAGAAATATCTTAAGAGTTAAAAAAGAGGTAGTGAATGAGTGCGAACATGAAGAGTGGGCGGAAATTGAGATAAATAAAAAGGCTTCTGGTTCTCTCCTTCTACATATGGCAGGTAGACAATATTGATAAATCACTTTAGAAGGAAAAAAATTATATTTTCTAGTGAAAATTTATTGAKACCTGCCTTAGCAATTACATCTTTTACCCTTAATTCTTACTGCATGTAACCCACTTTCATTTTGAGTTACTCTACTTTTATGAACTTTGGCTTGCATATTAAGTGCATGCTTAAGAAATCGCAGTTAACTTTCTCCTATTTAGCATTCTTACRACAGCAATCTGCGATGCTTATAAAAAGTATATGGCAACCAATTTAGCAAGAATGTTTCATGCAGAAAAGGCATACAAGAATTCAGCATTTTCTTACTACGCCCTTTTGTCAACTGCGCCAGTTCTCCAGTTCTTAACAATTCACATTTTCGCTATAAAATAGCTTGCCACATTGTCCTTTGTCTCGTTTGCGTATAAAGTTATGCATTGTTGGCATTACACAGTTTATATTCTTTGTAAATTTAGTGTGGCACGCGCGCGTTGCCAACACCTGGCAAACAACTTGCAACAAGCGTTATAAAACGCTTGGCTTGACTTCAGCTGAGTGCTTGCAACATTGCAACGTGCAACGCGCACGAAAAGTGGCTAAAATTGTACGCCGCTAAAAGGCGGCAACTCGTCCGTCCTTGCTTCCTTCCKTCCAACCGTGAGATGATAAACAAACTCGCACAAAATTGCTGCCCCGCTAAGTTGTGAAAAATTGTAAGGGGCAAGCTGGCGCGCACGAGCGCATGAATTTAACACAAACTTCTTTGTTGCATGCAAGCGTTTGCAGCGRCGGGCTGAACGGCGGCTAAGCACCGAAATAATTGTCAAAAGGTGGCAAGAGTAAACAAAGTCGACACGCGACTCAACAACGGACAGCCAAGKCAAACGAGCCGCAGCGCAATTCTTCAAGTGGATTTTTTGTTGCATTTGCACATTTTTGTTATTTTTGTTGTTCTTTTTTTTTTGGTGTTTGCTATTTTTAACTATAACTTTCTTGTTTGTAAATAATATTTACACATAATTTATATTTTCATAGCCACGGCCTTTGTCATGTAAATTATGGGCTGGCCGAGGCGTTGGTGCCTATGGTGAAGAAATGAAAAACAAAGTGGCAACATTTTCCTCAACTTTTCTGCGAAAGTTTTCGCTTGTCACGCAATGGCGCGTGGAGTAAAAAATTGCAACGCATTGAAGGCCGCAAGCATAAAAGAAAATGTAAGAAAATGCTAATGYTTATAATTTATGGAGCATGGGCGCTCGGCGCAACTAGCTTAACTTGATGAGCGCAATCGCGTTTAGCAAATCAGCTTCTTTGTAGGCGCTCATTAATTATTGTGTGGCTGAGTGATTTGCAAGGCCAAGCTGCACAGGAACTAATGGGTTAAAGTGAAAATTACTGTTATGCAGAGTTGCGTTAAATAAAAAATTCAAATGGAGTTGAACAAAGAAGAAAACTTAAGACATGATGGGCTACAGGGGTTATAAGAGAGAGGCTGCTCATTTGGAATTTTTTGCCTTCTTCATGCTATGAACAGGGTGTGCTAAGAAAATCAACTCCAATAGAATATATCTAATATAATCTTAATCCTTTTCACTGCATTAAGGGGGGAACTTGCGTTAGAAGCTTCAAAAAATCCATTTTTTTTTGCTTGCTTAAGTCTCTTTAGCTTTTATCGAAGAATATTGTTGAAGATAGAAGGAAAATAGTGACCGAGTATCTAACAGATATATGAGCGCTTGAGCAGCAAGCGAAAACGATTTTGTATCCAAAAAAWTTTCGGCTAATGTTTAAATTTATAACTATAAACCTTAGAAATGTCGCTTTAATCAACTATTTCTTTCCTTTCCAAAAAAATCCTCAAAAAATCAATGTTTTCAAACTTCTGTAGCAGGCTCCCCCCTTAAGAAGAAGCCGCTTTTTGATCACACCTATAGTATATATATAGCAGGCGAGTTCATAAGTAATWCGAAACTAAAATAAATATGAACTACTGCTTCCAGTTAGTATGGTAAATTAAGCACTATTTGACTATCTAGTCAAACTTGATCCTGGTAAAACCGGAGTGTTTTCAGCATATAACAAAYCCACTGAATTCACTTTGCTTGCTCATATAATGAAATTGTCTTCCTCCTACACACTTTGTACCACCCTAATTTAGAATATATTTTTCCTGACTCTTATTTTTCTAAAATGCAGTCTTTTAAACTAAAGGTAATTGTAATATCGACAAAATGGAGTCAGATGTAGCTAATTTTAGTTGAAAAGCAGGAAGACAATACGAAAGGTATCAAACATTACCCAATCAACCATGCTAAGTATAATATCGATTATTTGACCCAAAATTAAAAATTATTACTTTAGTGTTTAGTGTTAAACACTAMTYATAAACTCTGGGTTTAACGATGAAAGAAATTATCCCAATTTCAGTCCAAAATTAAAATATACGTCTAAAAATGGTGTTTAACCTTAAACTCYACTTATAAACTCGGAGTTAAAAGATGAAAAATTATCTGAGTTTTGTTTCATAATTAAAAAAAAGGCCAGAAATTGTGCTTTAACATTAAACACCACTATCAAACTCGGAGTTTAAGRATAAAAAATATTATCCAAGTAATGGCTTAAATTAAAAAAGCCACCACTTTGGTGTTTAACATTAAACCCTGCTCATAAACTCCGAGATTAACGATCAAAATTTTGGAGTAAAATTAGAAATGGGATCATCAATTGGTGTTCAACCTTCTCTAGCTTTATAATAAAGAAATGGTCCGAATTTCCGTGTAGAATAAGAAAATGGACCAGTACCGCTAAAACTTCTCATTATTTAAGCGTAAAAGTAGAAAATGGACCAGAAATTTTGTTTATCCTTAAACAACACTYATGAACTCGAAGTTTAAAGATAAAATGCTCCGAATTTCCCTAGATTTAGAAAAGAAACTAGAAGTTGGTGTTTAACATTAAACAGCACATATAAACACGGAGTTTATAAACCAAAATTTGTATAATCATAAAATTCGAGTTCACAGTAAGTACTTAAATAAACCCCACTGTTATGAGATGTAGACGGGAGAGGCTAGCCTAAAAGTAAACTAGACACTTGATCATTCTTTCGAAATTTTTATAAAATATCTC